TCAGCAGGACTACGGAACTGATTGTCCCCCTGTACTCAGAACTGGTGAGGCTGCACCTCCAATACTGCATTCAGTTTTGAGCCCCTCACTACAAGAAAGACATTGAGGTGCTGGAGCGTGTCCAAAGAAGAGCAAGGTAGCTGGTGAAGGGTCTAGAGAGCAAGTCCTGTGAGGAGCAGCTGAGGGAACTGGAGTTGTTTAGCCTGCAGGAAAGGAGGCTGAGGGGAGACCTTATTGCTGTCTATAACTACCTGAAAGGAGGTTGTAGCGAGGTGGGTGTCCGTCTCTTCTCCCAAGTAACAAGCGATAGGACAAGAGGAAATGGTCTCAAGTTGTGCCAAGGAAGGTTTAAATTGGATATTAGGAAAAAATTTCTTCCCCGAAAGGGTTGTCAAGCATTGGAACAGGCTGCCCAGGGAAGTGGTAGAGTCTCTGAAGGAATTTAAAAGAAGTGTAGATGTGGTGCTTGGGGACATGGTTTAGTGATGGACTTGGCAGTGCTAGATTAATGGTTGGACTTGATGATCTTCAAGGTCTTTACCAACCTAAACAATTCTATGATTCTGTGATTTTTCAATACTTTGTGCTTGATAAGTGTAAAGGCTTCTTCCATAGAGGTGATTTCAGAGCAGTATATCATTACCACTCTTAAGAGTATCCATGATGGCACAGTGCCTGAGGGTTGTGAGCTGGGCCAGGGCTGAACTGTCTGAAAACATGTACCTTTTTCACTAGTTTTGATATGCTGGTGCTATTACGAAGAAATTGAGAAGCTCTGCATCTTCAGATCTAGTTAAGCTACTGGAGAGCTACACCTTCAGAGTTAGGAAGGTCTCGTTCATTTGCAGTAAAGTCAGCAACGTTGGTTAGGTGGCAATGCTACATAATGAGTAATACTTGCTCTGGGCATGTGTGTGTTGAGTACTACATCTTGTATAGTCAATTCATAGAAGAAAGCAGTGATCTTGTATATGCAATGTCTTCCTCTTCTTAATGTCACCCTCGGAGCAGTTTGCTCAACAGGAAGCCGTGATACTTACTGATGTGTTACTGACCATCTGTCTGGAGCAAAAAGAACATGGCAGTAATGGAGGCCACGATATAAAATGGGATTTTTAGACTGATGTCAGCTGAGTGAGTGGCTAGAAACTCTGAAAGACTCTGCCTCGACCTCAGAAGAGTTCAAAGTCGAAAATGCTGTACAGGTTATGAGTTGGAGAGACATGTGGCAGGTCCATGGTGATAAACGCAGTTGTGGAGGGCTCTGGGGGAAGAAACAAGCTTTGTTTTAGTCCCATTTAGCACGAGCTGACAACTTAGCATTGACAAAGATGTCAGACTGAGACTGTTCTTTGAACATAAGGAGACAGATCCTGAGCAGAGACACAGATCTGAGTAGTCAGTGCAGTGATGGGAGCTGAACTTGTTTTGCAGATGAGATCCCTGAGACAAGATACTGAGGAAAGAGAGACCTGAGAATAGAGAAAGCGTTGGTGAAGAATGAAGATCCACGAAGAGAACAATAGGAAAAGATTAGTAAGTAAGTCAGAGTAGTAAGACTAGTGAGAGTATGAGTGTCATGTCCTATTTCAAGAATAGGAGGATTGTCTGAGAAGAAAGATGAGGATGGAATCTTTTCATTGGAGTGTGAGGGCTGAAAATTTAGTTGGTGAGAATTGATGTAATTAGAGTAAAACTGCTCCAGCAACACTGGAGATGAAAAAGAAATGGCTGAAGAGGCACAGGTGTATTTTTCCCAATGATTTTGATGGTAGGTGAGAAAAACAGAAGCATCTTTCTGCTGAAAAGAAGAATTAAAGCAATTGAAGGCTAGAAGAGACATTCAGAGGGAAATATAGGGGCTACGGGCAGTTGGGCAGGGTGATGGGATAAAGGAGGGTCTGTAGGAGAAGAGCAAATGTTTATCTTTGCCCTACATACCTTGCAGACCTTGCCTTCCTAAAGCTCTCTTTCTCTCAGACAGTGATACATATTTTCCTTTTGAGAGGAACTAAGGCTGAGGAAGCCTGAGGAATGGAGCAGTGGGTAAGTGTGACTGGAATATGACTCAAAATTCAACTTTCTCCAACTGAAGTACTTAAATAGATGGAGAAGCTGGAAGAAGGATGTAATTCTGGCAAATGTGGAAAGGGAAGGAAAAGAGCTAGAGCTGGAGATGATCCATGTGGATTTTATTATGGCAGAGGAGGCCAAGGAGTTCAAGGTAGTGGGAACTGCCACAGTATCAGTGAAAGTATGGGAGTAGAGGGCTAAGGATGAACAAATGTCAAATGTTATGGCCTCTCTACTACTTCAAACAATCATGTTAAGGTGCTGTCATGCTATAAGACAACAGAGGCAGGAAATTTTTTTTTGAAGCGGAGCACACTGAAAGAGTAAATAAAATGAGGGACTTTCTTTATGCTGGGGGAAGAATGAACACAGAAAAACCTGAAGTTGAAACAACAATAGAACATATGAAAATTAAACTCGCTGGAATTGTCATTACCGTATTACTTAGTTCTTGCCTTCCTAGATTGTAGGGAAAAGTCAGATTATTTTTTTTTTCTTTTACTTTGCTGCAGTTCTTCACAGGTTGCTAGTGAGTTAGAACAGTGACTTCTTTAGATTAAGCAGGTCTGTGCTACCCACTGCCTGTGCGTGGCAAGGAGTTCTCCGTACCACGTACAAGCTCACAATGTCTGTGCAGACTCTTTAACTCCTACACAAATGCTGAGGGCATTTTGCTTGTTTTATGCTTGAAAGGGAGGCTTGTTCTGTGGCTTGGACTCAAAACAATGGATTTTTATTTTTTCCTTTTCTACTCCATTAGCTGGAAAAAATACATAAAGCACAGCAGCTCTGAGTTAATTTCACTGTATTACTAGAAGCCTTTGTATGTTCCAAATAAATATTTGGTAGTTGTTTTACAAAAGAATATTTTTTGGCCCATAGTCAGAGTACTTATAAGAGAAAGAGAGAAAGAAAGCTCTGATACAACCTCTTGATGAAAATCCCCCTCCCTTAGTGTGCTGTTTCTCTTTCACTCATTCGAAACGAGAGCAATGATGACAGGGGAGTCCGAGGGCATCGTGGATAACCTGGCAGGACTGAGGTCGTGAGTTTGAGAAGTGAACAGCGTGGACTCCGAATGGCAAAGTGAATGAATGGTGGTTCCATGAGGTTTTGGTTATTGTAATTAGATGAGTATGCTTAATTCTCCCACCTCTGCAGTGCTTGCGTGCTCAGTCCATGTCCCCTGGGCATGTGCTCTGCTGTCCACTGGCTTGCCATGCTGGTTGGGTGAGAGACAGTGGTTCCTACAAAGCCGTGCACATAGCGGTTGTCATCTGTGCCCGCATGGCCAGAGTGTTTTCATCTCTTCCGTGGTTTGGCTGTTTCATTGACTGAACTATAGCTCCGGAGCTCGCAGGCGGTCTGCGTTGCAGGGCCAGCTGCTGCTGCCTGCTGTGTTTGTGGCCCCGTGCTGCAGCCGGTCAGCTGGACTTGCCCCATAGACTCAGTAGTCTCGGGCGAGGGAGGAAGAGGGGAAGTGGCACGGCTCTTGTGAGCTTTGTTTTCTTGGGGAACAAAGCTTAAAGTCGCACATGTAAAAGATGCTTTCTAAAATTCTCTACGGAGCATGGGCTTTGCTTAATTTTGAGCTCCAGTAAAATAACCTGGTTTATTGGCAAATCTACACCTTAGGATGGTCATATCACTTGAAAGAATCTTGCTGCCTACCTTTTGAAGGCTGCTGAGCTGGTAGATCTCACTGTCTAAAAGCATAAACCCCACAATTTAAGGACTAGCATAGGTGGGTGTTTCTTACTTGTTTTGTTTGTGTTTTTTTTTTTTTTAACTGTCTTTGACTGGAATCTTTCTCTTCAGTTTGCCTACTTCAAGAGCTAGTTTATTCAAAGTTGAGAAATGAATCAGCTAAAATACTGAAGAAGCAGGAAGGCTTGCTTTCCTCTTCTAATAAGGGTGGAAAACTCCTGAATTTAAGATATTGTAGCCCAGAAACATAGAATGATGTGATCAGAAGCAGACTAGTACCATCTCTGTGCTGAAAACCATGGTTTAATAAAAAAAAAAACTTACATTTGAGTTACTGGGAGCACATCACATGCGCACCCACCTACATTGATTTTACAAGATTTCTGCTTTCACATGGACGTGACACAAATGCTGAAAGACATTTTTTTGTGGTGTCACAAGATCACGCTTTGTTTCTTAACATAAACTTGAATGAATGTAGAGATGTATCTTTGCTTAAATCTGGATAGGGATAGTGTCTCTGCAGTTTAAAGGGTGCCAGATAAAGAATATGTTCAACAGGTTTTCCAAATTATGTTGAATTTCAGTTACTGTGTACGAAAACACCGGTACAAGCACAATATTAACCTTGTTTACTTTAAATTTGGGGGTTAGTTGTGGTCTGCTTGCTGTTTCGACCATGCATAAGCCTCATGGTAGATAAAAAGTGAAACTACTCTCATACTTCTGACCTATAGCTGAGTGATTATTTGTGAGGTCTTGCACATGAAGACCTTGAAGAATGCCAGAGAGCAGAAGCAGATGGTGTAGCTGGGAGCCAGAGAGGTTTACTCTTCAGCTTTCTGGAGGTGAGCTTTTGTTCTACCTACAGCTGAGAAAACTGGAGATGGGAAACAAGATGTGAGCCGGAGAGGAAACTGAGTAATAACTGCATCTAAGATGTTTGTTCCTCCAGTGGGGCTTATTTATTACAATGTCTGCTGCCGGCTAGTAGGAAAGAGTTTTAAACTCATCCTTTGCACCATGGAATTGACTTCCACAAACTGTTGTAGAGGAAACATCTGTGGATGGAAAACATCCTGTAACACATAATACAAGGAAAGAGAAGTGAACAGGCTTGCTCTATACTTGTTTGTATTGCAGGTATAATGCAATGTCTGTGGGCACACTTGATGTAGGAGTTATTGATATCTCTTCTCTTTTCCCCTTACAAGCAATGTGATATGAACAGTTACCACTTCAACTTCCTGATTCTCGAAACAGCACTGATGCCGCTTGTTCTCCTTCTTTCTTTTCTTTACCTTTCCCATACAGTCAAAGTATCAGCAGTAGAGGTCAACACACCGGAGGAGATATTTGTGGAGAATGGGACAGACGCAAAGCTTCCATGCACGTTTACATCTGTGGAAGTGATCAGCAGCGCAGCATCTGTTTCTTGGAGTTTTCAACCAGAGGGAGCTGCAACTCGTATCTCAGTAAGGAATGGATGTAGGGGAACAAACCTGGGAGGGGAGGCTGTGATAAGTGTGCAAAGGTCTTTGAGTTCTTCTCAAGAAGAGTTCTTCTTCTTCCATGAGTCTTGTCTCCACCACGGTGATTTTAGGGGGGCTTTTTTAGAGTTATTTAAAAGTATTGCCATAAGCTAGATCTCTGCAAAAGCTGAAGTGTGCAGCGGCTGTAAAATATACTAGTACTTTGTTAGTCAGAGCAGAGGGGTGTTGGTGTGTTAGAAGTATATATGAAGTAGGTGAGTATCTAGGGATCTTCTAAGTTCTATATGCTCTTGCACTTGAAATGAGCTGTGGAGCTGTGCACTGAGTGAGAGTGGTCACAGAATTTGAACTACCACTGTTACCGTGTTACATTGTGTTGCGCGTGTTGCTTATTTCTGCTTGTGTACTGTATAGCCTCTATTCAAAAGGGTTTAAAATGAGACCAGTCTCTCTGGTTTCAGAACAGAATTGAATTGCTCAAATCAGTAAGCAGGGACATCCTCATATTTTAGTTATTTGACAGGTAAAAAATTAGACTGTCAAGCCACTTAGGCTAATAATAGCTATCAGTCGTTTCCTGGATGTTGAGCCCAAGTGTGCTCAGGTCCTTTGGGTGTGAGCTTTCGAAGAGGTGCCTTTGGTAGATTGTTAGCTGTCTTCTTCCTCTGTTGCGTAAGCTGTGCATGGAGTCTGAGCTCTCTGACACTTCTGCTTCCCTCTTATTTCTTGACCTGAGTGAGAATTTAGAGGAAGTAGGACAAGGGAATCTTGGGCAGCAGGAAAGATGTGGAAACAGCGGGTTGCTCAGCCTCTTAGTGTTTGTCTCCTTCCCTATGCTGCAGACATGAGATCATTTAAACTCTAGGAGCCCTTCAATGCCCAGAACAGGGGTGATCCAAAACACTGTATGAGCAACTTGCTCAATATATAGAGCTCTGAAGAATCAGCTTCTGAACTCTCAGTGAATGAATATTTAGTTGTGAAAATGGAGCTCTTCTCTTTGGGAAGCCAGAGCAGTAGCTGGGCAAATGCTTGAGGAAGTAGGACATATTTCCTGCCAATGTTGAACAGGATGGCTGAAAAGAAGCCATCTGTTTGTATGTTTTCCGCTCCCAATAGAAATATCCACCATATATCCTGTTTTGCTCTTCCCTTTCTATATCAGTGTCCAAACCCCTTATTGTAGAAATACAACTTCAAGACATAACATTTTTTTGGGAAGTGAAGTCAATTTAAACATTCTACCTGAATGTAATTATCAGCACAACTGAGAAAAAAGCAAATTGAGCAGAAGTCACCCAGCATGATCTGATGTTAATTCCCTGTTTCTTTTGAAGGTCTGAGGGAGGTATAGAGGGAAGATGTTTTAATGAACTCGAGTCATGTCAGTTACATGGCTTGGTCGGCATTAGTTTGAAAGATCAATCTCATGATCAGCTTATATTTGAGCTAAGTCTATGCTTCTCCTGAAGGGATGGTCCTCTGCCTCTTTGAAATCAGCCCTGGCAATCTTGTGGCCATGTGGTGAGACTGAGTTGACCGAAAGGTTCCCCTGCTTGTCCCCTTCCTGCTTCACAAGACATCTCAGTGTGAATGAAACATCTGATGACAGCAGAGTTTCATGATTGGCTTAAACCAGTCTAAACCCATCAGCTTTAGGTCTCAAAAGAAGTCTCATGTTCAGTCACTTAATCATGGGCATGGAGTGGCTTGAGTCGCTTAGCTTGTGTTTCAGGGCATATTTTACTTTGTAGTTTCTCCTCCGTCAGGTGAGGGCACCTAGAGAGCTGAGGAACCTGCCTCTTGCCTTCTAGACCTCCCGTCGGATGACTCCCTCTGTGCACAGGGGTGTGGTAGTGTAGTGCCTGTGTGCTAAAGTTTATAATCCAGCTGCAGATGCTGCAGACTGATGCAGATTTCCTCTGAAATGTTGACAGATGACTGTGTGCTAGCAGACTTCCTACCACATGAGGTATTTATTGGATTTATGCTAGCCTGTAGACAACAAATAAGTGTCAGATTGACTGCAGCATAACAGATGGTTGTGTGCACGTACCTGATCTGGATAAGATTTGCACTGCCAAATGATCAGCCCTGATATTCAGAGTGCAGGTCCGATAGAGAGGATGTTGGAAAGGCAAGCCTCAGATCGAGGGTAGGAACAGGAAAAGAGATGGGAGATGACCCGAATGGAGAGAGGACTAGTTTGTAGCCAGTCTGTTCTGTGACAGAGAGACTACTTTGTAAAGAAGGCTGTAGAAAGAGGAAGCGGGAATATTGTCTTAAATTTCTTTAACCATGCTCTGGAGACTGAACTGAAGAGAGTTTGGGTTGATTCTTGGTTAAGTTTGCCATTCTTTTCCAGAATGTGAAATTAAGAATGAATGTGCTGCTGCAGTACAGCCTTGATCCCTCTCTTAGAGTTATGCCCAGTGTTCAAACATCCCATATGTTTGAAAGCAGAGTTGTCCTGTAGAGGTCTATCCACTTCTACTGCTGTAAATTCCGATTTTGGTCAGGTACAGCGAGGAAATACGCAGTTTCTCCTTGGGCTATAATAAACAGATTCATTCTTCAAGGATTTTTGGTCATATTTAGGGAGTGCAGGGCCAATGTGCAAATTAGTCACCTAAGAACTAGGAAGTAGTTATATTTAGTCACTGTGAAGGTTTCTGGAAAACAGCTAGGTAAACTCTAAATTGCTCATGGGATTTTTTTGGAGATGGAGGGAAGGAGGGTATTGCATGTTGATTTAACTCTACTGTAGTTGCAAGTAACACACAGCAAAACATGAGATAGGAAACTTGGTATCCTTTCCTACTAGGATGCAGAAGGCTTCCTGTGCCTGAAAGACAGATGGCTGTGATCCAGAACTGTTCTGTCTTACAATTATTCCCAGGTTACGAGCTTTTTTCTCTTTCTCCCACCTCCTTGTCTGCAAAACCCTGTGTCCCCAAAACCAGGAAAAAAAACCCCAAACAGTCCATCCACAAAACAAACCAAAATCAACAGAAAACAAAAACTTGCTGTCTGTTGAAGTAGTATGATTGAGGTATAAGCCATAGCATGGTTATATGATCAAGAGGCAACAAGCCAGACTAAAGTGGTGAGGCAGGAGGAAAAAAAACCTCAAATACTAGCTGTGTATAATACAGTGCATTCTGGGAGAATGCTGTAATAGCGAGAGAAGCATGGTAGCTTTGTAATCTCTAATTGGATTGTTCTTGTATCTTCTTTTCCTTGACTACAGTTTTTCTATTACTTTAATGGAAAGCCATACCCTGGGAAGGACATACCATTTAAAGACAGGATCACTTGGGCTGGAGATCTTAACAAGAAAGATGCTTCTATCAGTATATCAAACATGCAGTTCCGGGACAACGGCACTTACATTTGTGATGTCAAGAACCCACCTGACATTGTTGTCAAACCAGGAGAAATCCGAGTTAGAGTTGTGGAGAAAGGTATTCACCCTATATGATTTTTTTGCTTTCCTTCCCCCTCCCCCCCCGCCTCCTGTGCCTATATCACTTATCTTGGGGGTGGGGGAGTAACCTGGAGGGAACAACTATCTTTTTAATTTTCTTCTTCCAGGTCCTAATAATCAAACTGATATTCTGTGAGCTGTTTGAAAAATTGACTGTCATACCCTTTTGCTCTTTACCCACTAATTCCTGTGCTTTTAACAAGTATTAGCAAAAGCTGATGGAAGCCTTTATGAAAACCCATCTTCTCATTTCAAAGTCCTATGAATTTTTTTTTTTTGTGTTATGCTACATCAACGGTTAGGATGGCTTGAAGTCTGGGGAGCAAAGAGAGAAAGTGGCAGACTCTTCTTTCTGGAACCCATCTGGTGTATATTCTGAAAACCAAAAGTAATAGTCTGGCCCAAGCAGGTGCTGACAGACAGTGAAATGCTACTGTCTTCCGTGCGAAGGTGTTTGTGCTGGGCCTACATTCAGCCTCTCTTACTCACATGTTCTTAGAGTATCTGTGGTGACCCTTATGAACTGCAAGGGCTGACTACTTGCAGTCATTTAAGGTTTCTGGTTAGCATTTGGTAACAATGATCACAGTTCAAGAGCACTTATATTCTTTATGTCAATTTGACTCTTTATTTCCCGTGGCAATCCAAAACATTTGCTTGTTCTAGCTAAGCTGGAGGTCAGCCAAAGTGTGACTGTTCCTATGATGAAATGGTTCTTACAGTGATCGGATTTCCAAATTTATATTTAATAAGGACAAGAATAAATGTTAAATTCATAAATGGCAATGTTGATACAGTTATTTCATTAGATTTTAATATGTTAGGGAAGATACCTACCTGTATGCCCTAATTAGAATAATGTGACTACTATAACAGGTCTGTACTCCTGCTCATGAGGTCATTCCATGTGCTTATTTAGGGAAGGTCTATATCTAACTCTTATTTTCACAGAGCAGTTTGAGTTGGATGGGACCTCCGGAGATCGCACCATCACTTAGCACTTTCTGTTTCTTGGAAGTTTAGAGTCTATATAAAATAGGGTCATTTTATTTCCTTACAATGTATCGATAGTCTCTATGAAGAAGCAGTAAAACAACTGCTGGTTTGGCAAGTCAGGCTGTCTCGGCAAAGCCTCTTCAGATTTTAACCCAGGTTAAGCGAATGAAGACCGACTCGAGTACCGTAATTCAGCTGATATTTTTCAACAGACTTGCATGCCCGCTTCCCCATAGGTGGAGCATCTGGACGAGAGGATCTCACTGTTCCTGAAGGGAACCCTGTATATACTGCAATGCTTCTCGTCATCAGAAAAATATTGTCTTCAATTTCTTGACCTTGAAAACAAGTTTTCAAGCTATAGCTGTAATGCTGCCTTGCATTCTGACTTTACCTGAAAGTACTGCTCTTGTAGTAGATTGTAACTCATCCTGAACTGAGCTGGATAAATTCTTTTAATTGAAATAAGTACATGTTGACTCTTGTGCATTTTTTTTTTGTTAATACTATGTATACATTTAATTGTTCTTAATCATATGTCTGGTGTTGTAAACTATTCAAAGCCACGTACACACAGAACTTAAGTTTTGGGTTGGCTTATGTTGTGGTTTTTGGACTGAGGGTCGAGACAAGAACCGAGAGGGAGCACCCACCAACCATGGTCCCGGGCAAAACATGACTCAGGCTTTCTTCGTAAAACAAAACAATTTATTAACAGTTACTTAACAGGAGACATAAGGGAACGAAACTGGTTACTTGAGAGGAGAAAAGAGAAAACAAGGCCAGATCTTAAAACAACACCTCCCCACCCCGTTTCCTTTCGTTCCTGGCTCAACCTCCCCCCCGGTGGCGCAGGGGGACAGGGAATGGGGAGTGCAGGTCAGTTCATCCATGTTGTTAACTAGCGCCCCTTTCTTAAAGGAGGAGGAGTCTTTACACCATTTTTCCCTTGCTTCGGTGGATCCCCTACTCATGAAGAAAAAAGTCCCCAAACTTTTCCAACGTGAGTCCTGCCCGGATGATTATCCTTCCCCATGGATTGTACCAGTTCGGGATTTACCAGTCTCGGCCTCTTAGGGAGCTGCTGCCACTCGCGTCGGGGGGGGC